TTCAGGTGATAGGGGGGGGGGTTACCTTGGTTGGTTATTGGCTAATGGTTACACAAGCCACAAAATCGTTATGACATCATAAATTGGCCAAAATCTGATCAGCTCATTGTCAGACAGGTTTTTATAGAAATGGATCAGGACAAAAAGAGAGAGAATCTTTGTTCCTGAAACTTTCAGAGTCTCTTTCCACAGAGGGGACACATGTTGATGTAGAAGAGACATGAAGAAGAGGGGACACATGTTGATGTAGAAGAGACGTGAAGAAGAGGGGACACATGTTGATGTAGAAGAGACATGAAGAAGAGGGGACACATGTTGATGTAGAAGAGACATGAAGAAGAGGGGACACATGTTGATGTAGAAGAGACATGAAGAAGAGGGGACACATGTTGATGTAGAAGAGACATGAAGAAGAGGGGACACATGTTGATGTAGAAGAGACATGAAGAAGAGGGGACACATGTTGATGTAGAAGAGACATGAAGAAGTGGATTTTGCATAATAGGTGACCTTTAACACCGGCAAGCTACCATGCTCACCCCTCTCTCCTCTCTTCTTCTTGGTGCGGTCGATGTGGTCCTTCAGCTGGATGCGGATCTGCCTCTCGTTGGGCATCTCTCTGATGAACGGGTGTTTGAGGAGCTGCTCCGTGCTGGGCCTCTGGCCGTGGCTCTTCACCAGACAGCTCTCTATGAACGACTGGAACTTCTTAGACCTGAAACCACATTTAAGAGAAATGAATGGTCCGCTGTAACCAAGTTTATGACTGAACTGATTAACCTGCTTTTAATGGGGTTGTAAGATTCACACTCACCACTTCTTTGACTTGAGTCTGGGGGCGGGGTTTCGCGGGATGAGGAAGAGGGCTCTCATTGGGTGCATGTCACACAGCGCTAAAGATTGAAATACCAAACATGGGTGAGCTTGGGTGGATGTTTCTCACTTATCATCATGGCATTTAATCAAAGCCAGCTGGAGTTTGTAGTTTGTCCTCATCTGATCAATATAGGCAGTCAATACTGATAACAATCTATTAAATATACTGACACACACTTAGGTCTCAACTTTCTGAACACATGGAACACCTAGGTTGTTATCTATCTCACAAGAAGCCAGTTTCACATTTACATATTCAAACTTCTCATTTTTTAGTACGTCCTATGAGTTTCAGACTTTTTTTACATCCTAACAAATATGATTTTGTTTGTAAATTGGGTCTTCACCTATACAGTATACGTGCAACTTGTGAAGCAAATATTCATATCCAGTTTGAGGTCGTCTTCCTCTATGCAGGATTGATCTGTCTTAGACTGCTAGAACTGAACAACCTTGACAAATCTAAAGTATGTCTAGAAGCAGCTTTTCTACTAAACATCCTGATAATGTGCATGTCTGCTCGGAATAAGGTAATGAAAGAAGGGAAAAGAAAAAGAAGAAGCAATTTCACAACCAATTATACATCTGCTCTTTGGCCTTCATTACAAAAGACTGGCTAAGAATGAGTTGCACTGTCCCAGACTTAGGATGATGTGTGGTGGAGATGTGTGTTTTAGACTGTGTACATACGTGGTGCTCCTTCAGCCATCTCTATTGCTGTGATTCCCAGTGACCATAAATCACTCTGTAATGGCAGAGACACAGTGCGTAAATACTCAGGGTTACACAAAAAGGGCTCAACACACAGATGTGGAAAGGAGGTTGTTTAGGCACCTTGAAGTCGTACGTGGCCTCAGGGTTCTCGTCACAGGCGATGACCTCAGGTGCCATCCAATATGGCGTCCCGATGAACGTGTTCCTCCGTCCCACTGTTCGGTCCAACTGGGCTGAAACTCCAAAGTCCACTACAGAGAAAAACACACACAAAGGCAACAAGTCAGGACCGCTGACTTGAAATCGTTGTTTTTCTCACTGTGTGTCTTTGAGAGTGTGTGTGGGCCGATTCCAATGGGATTTACAACATTCCTTAATGGACTCTAAACAGAAACGAATAGCCTAACCTGCAATAACTCGCTCCATTTACAAACACACACACAGTTTATAATCCCCTGCCCACTGGGTCTTAGGGGGAGAGTGATAGAGAGGAAAGAGAGAGAGAGAGAGTCCCTTCTTCAGCAATCTGCACCAGAGCAGGGGCCGAGCTACAGAGAGATGACTCTGCTGGTATTCAGCATAAAAGAACACACACACACACACACACACACACACACACACACACACACACACACACACACACACACACACACACACACACACACACACACACAG